ATACTTAGTAATGTCTTCATAGTCATCGGAGAATTATGTGTAGACTCGTGCTCATGATTACTGTAAGTGTACTCAGTAAAATCGTCTGGTCATAAAATTATTAAGACATGGTTTAAAACTAAATTCATGTCTACCTACTTGAATTTTTACTTTGTAAGTTCTGCCTGATTACTGTTTTGATGTCTTAGTATGAAAATGTCCCTAAGCTATTTATTTACTTATTACTTACTACTTAATATACTTCTACTTGTATCATCGGCCACTTGAGGGGACAGATTCTATAGATTTACTCTTGATCATTTACTAGAATTTCTCTCATTAATTAGTCATAAAATGAATGGATGAATGAATGGGGAAATTACATATGGTTCCTCAATGTAATTGAGCTATTCACAAATATTGTAGTGGTTACTTGTACTCTAGTACTCTGCATGGTCTCATCATAAGCCCTTATTAAAGACATAAATCTAGAAATTCACACATGGATACAGTGACTGAACACAAAGAAATATTTAATTCGCATGGTGGATAAAAGACTCTTCATTTTCACTCTTGCACAATTTTTCTTGTCCTTTTTAATGGATTTTGGAATTCTGTGACATACGTATCATAAATGTAATGTAAACATAATTGTTATATTTTTTTTAAATTTATTACGGCATATATTTGCTAATTTTACAGCTACTCTTTACGATTTACAATGCGGTCCTAAACCTCTTTTTTTAGAAACGGACAAAAATTAACTCGCACGTGGATGTCATCCATATAATCAAATCAACATAGCCTTATTAATAATTTAAAGATCCTCAGACCAATAAAACATGATGTTAATGCACATCTATATGGATTGACTTTATCTCATTCTAAATTCAATTCTAAATTGTTAAGGCCATAAATCAAATATTGGAAATAAGCCAATTAAAATTGACATCGATTAAAGGTCAAAATTTCATATTTTTCATCACCAGAAACTGCCAAGGGGTTCAAGTACACTGGACTGGACTGTACCTACACTGGACTTTCCATAGCCTGACCAAGCAACTTTGTGCATATATGTTGTAAATAATTTTTATATGTGTCTTTTGTATATATGTTAGTTTTGATGTATTATTTTTCAATGTGAATGCTGTTTTTCAAATAATGTGACAAATTGTACCTAATTCAGGGGAATGCGCTTCTGCTCCCCCTGCTGTTGTACATTTGTAAAATGATGAGCAATAAATAAGTAAAGTAACTTTATACTACCCCCCAAAGAAGTAATTTGCCTTGATATGATGTTTATCTGACATTTTTCTTCAACATGTGCACGTAAAAATACATACAATAAAATAAGTGAGCCAGGTCTGAAGCTTTAAGCTAATTAAGCTTATGCAAGACTGTGATGCAGCCAACACTGGGGAAAGGGTTAGAATAGGTGTACAAACTTCCAAAATTACAACTAATAACAATCTAACATAGTTACCTAACACTAAATAACTGCATTACAACAGTCAATTACAGAAATAAACATCGTAGAATCGTAGAATTGAAGCGATATATTGACACGAAATGTATTATACAGACCCTTACGTAAGGGCCCTGTGGTGTATTCCAAAGTTTTTATGGCTCCACCACTGAGTAGTAAAGTCATATTGTTTTTCCACATGTTTCTTCTTTTACTCCTGTCATTCCGTTAAACGGATTCAATTTCTTCATTTTTTACATTTTTCCAAATGACATGAAATTGGGCATGGAGGTAAAGTAGCGGTATACTGTCTTTTTATTTTTTTTAATTGTTGTTTGTTTTTTTGGGGGCATTTTTAGGCATTAGATATACATTTTAGGATCTGGAGCTTGGTAATAAAACCAAATGACTTGAAATTTGATGTGGGGATACCTTGGGCATATATCTACAAAACCCCATTCATTACGTCTGAACTATACCTTGCGTTGACATTTACAACTAATTATACAAGGTGCAAATGCTACAAATTGGCTAAACTCGGTAGATCTTGCCGGTCGTTTTAGGTTATCAATACATGTCCAGGTATAAGTAACGTCTAGTTACAAAAAGATACCGGCAAATTTTGGCGTCTGAATGATGAATTAAAGAGATCCTGATTGAAAAAATGGACTAATGACAGGGTTTTGTTGTTCATTTTGGGAAATGATTTACTATTGACAGGATTATTCTGTAACAAATACAAACAGAGGAACCTTAAATTGCTCCTGACACCAAAATATGACCTTACCCGATTGAACTTGACAAAACTAGTATTACCTGGCCAACAGACACAGTTATGATAAATATACACGTTTCTCCTGTTATGTTCAAAATTTTAATGCCCCGCATCGGGAAAGTCAGCACAAGCCAGTCCTGGCAAACAATTTGCATCTCTACCTTTTTAATTTGCATTTCTGTATTTCTTCCTGAGCTGATGTCACCCCGTGATGTCAGCTCAGGAAAAGGCACAGAAATGCAAAAATTAAACATAGAGGTGCAAATAGAGATGCTCAAGGAGGGCGATCGGGAAGCTTGCTAGAGGGTCTCCATCAATTGACCTTTGGAAGGCTGTACAAACTCAATTTCTCAGTCATCATGATTTTGAAACCAACTTCATCTGACTTTTAATGATACATAGAATTAAAATTCTATGTATGATTTTGCATATGTTATGTATTTTACAGAATTTTTTGGGTGTCATTTATTGGTCTTTAAAATATAAAATCCGCGGAAATTGATTGGGAGTTGGAAGGCAAATGCCGTCATTATTTACAAGAATGATATAAACACAATGCTAACTACATGATAGTAAGACAAACCTGACAAGGTTTACTTATAGTGGCAAAAAGAAGAGCAAAGAGGTACCTACTCTATAGTGACGTTGTCAGTCGGCGGGGATACGGCAGGCGCCTGTTGGTTATGTCATCAGACTGGTGGAGCGGTGACACCTTGACCGGTGTACCGTTATAACGTGTGCTAAAGTAGGGAGATCATCAGTGCTCAATTCATCTGACTTGTATGTAATCTGAGACCGAATGTTCCTTTGGTGCACGTAATGGTGAAAATCCGTTCATCAATATACATTCCCCTCACACCCCACCCTAACAAACGACATTAGTATCACTGCCGCTGAGTAATGTGTTACAAAGTGCCTGCGGTTCAGGGACACTTGATTCGATTAGAATCAAAAATCAAGTTCAGAATTCGCATGGCATCGATTGTTGTTCGTAACATACCTTAAATTGACTTTATAAAGATGTGATATGATAATTATATTGAAGTTCTTTTCTCTATAATTAGCTTTTCCCTGTCTACAAAGTGCCTGTTTTCAGGGACACTTGATTCGATTAGAATAAAAAAATCAAGTTCAGAATTCGCATGACATCGATTGTTGTTGTGGTAAAATACCGTAAATTGACTTTATAAAGATGTGATATGATAATCATATTGCATTTTTCATTTCTTCTTTCTCTATAATCAGCTTTTCCCTGTCTACAGCATGCTAAGTGCTATCAATAAGTATTAGCAAGTAAATTTTATGGATGATATCCTCCGCGATCTAATGCGAGCGGGCGAAAAAAAAAAAACAAGGCGGGCCGAAAAAAACAAGGTTCCTACATTTTAGAATGTTGACTCGATCATTTTACAAATGGGTTTTATTCATTGGGATCATCACATATACACAAAGTAAGAAGCAAAACATTAATTCCGAGCCTTTTGTTGTGTTATCTCTTCTTATTTATCTGCCATCCACCTTCCGGCATGGCAGCAGACATCTTTGCCCATTTTAGGCATGTTGACCACTGTCAGAAGGCAACAAAATTTCTTTTTTTTTTTAATCAGGCGAAAATCAATGTGCGCGCTGATGCCATCCCTAAAAATCACTTGCTGTGGCCTTAGGAGTGAAGCATGGGTAAGATGATTATATCACAAGAAATGTGGAGTGCGCTCTTGGTCCCAATGCGGCTCTAATCCGGACGTAAGAGCCTTAAAATATTCAACTTAACACCTTTAGCGTGATGGAAAACTGAATTTGGCTTATCCACAGGGACGACGAGATAACAATCATGAGTCAGGTCTATGTAAGGCAGGGGGGGGGGGCCTTGAGCACCAAAGTTTTTGTGTTTTTTTTGGCCTTTCATAAGAAACAATATTTCCTTTCCTCAAGAAAATTAGATAAATTCCGGCCAATACTATAGAAGCATAAATCCGTAGAAAATTCAACTCCCTATAAGCAAAGGTCAACTTTTATTTTGAATTGTATTAGGTACTTTTTAGGGCTTTATTTATATTTAACAGTTACCATTTTCGTCCATCTAAACAGTGCTGTCTTGAATATTGCCCAGCTAAGTAGATATAGTCTTAGACTATTTCATACTGTCGGTAGTCACTAAAAGGTATACTTGGATATTGTAAAAACGAAAAAGGCCGTAAAAACTACGCTATAGTGTTGGATCCATGTATGAGAGCACACTGGACTTACAAAGTTACCTCATTTGGCCTTGTGAGATAAATATGGGATCCATTTTATAATTATCTCGGTAACTATCGCGTAGAAACATTCAGCATCAACAAGACACCAAGGACGAATTAAAGACATAGCATGATAAAGAACTATTTGCATTCATTTAAAGTTGGTTTCACCATTTTGCACACAGTAACCCTGTTTGCCACAGACTTGTTATCTTGTTCCTTTAACATCAAGTTTAACGTAAGGTAAATAAACGTGTTCAAATAGACTTATGAAAAGCCTTGTTTAGGTAATGATTTGTACAGAATATTTACAATCGTTTTATCATCCAGTCAACTGTTTAATCCTGATTATTTACAAATTTTAAATTCGGATTATATAATTATTATTATACAAATTATATAACCAGTATAGTAATCTCACTTTCAACCCACAACTACAAACAAAACTAGATGGATCACATGCAGTCTGCTAGCTAGATTGTTACAGTTTACAAGATTATTTTTAGACAATGATGACTTCACTATAAAGAAAAAAAAGTACTTTTCAAAGTCTTTGTGAGAGATCAAATTGTTACATATTAGGCAGTAATATATCATAAATAAACATTTGAAATAGCTATAATTAGGATACACACTTAACCATAGAATCCGTAATTAAAAAATCCAAGGTAATTATAGAAATACAGTAAACACAACTCAAGAAATGCTACAATCTTTTAACTTTACTCCATTGTTACGTTTGCCAAATATTTTTCAATTGCATCTTCAATATCAATCGTTGATATTAATATTGTAGACTGGGTTCTGGTACGTCTGTCTCTGGGACTCTTGGGAGTTCTTCGCTCGTGGAAACGGCATGTTCCACCGTGTGTTCTCAGGAAGCTGATTATCTTCCCCGGGCAACGCGTACTTACCACGACGTGCGCGTCTCTGTCAGTGTCAGAAAAAAAAAGAGATTTTTGTCATTTATCCCATGTTATATGTGATACAGTTTAAATGGCATGCAGTCCATAAATGGCAGAAAAATGTGATGTCGGTCTTTACTAATAGTTTTAAGTGGAATACAATATGGGCATTGTTTATATCTCTTGTACGTTTTGCTATGTGACACTATTTGTATATGTGACAGTTTAAATGGCATGCAGTCCATAAATGGCAGAGAAATGTGATGTCGGTCATTACTAATAGTTTTAAGTGGAATACAATATGGGCATTGTTTATATCTCTTGTACGTTTTGCTTTACACAAATTTATGACATTTTATTTATGCAAAGGAAGCTGTTGTGTCGGTTAAGGCATGGCACCCAGATAAGAGGATATGGCAAGCAGCTTTTGTTAATAAATCACATCCACTTACTTATGTTTTGACGTAAATCCTGTTTTTGCTACAGTTGTTGCTGTTTGTATGAGTGTGTGTGTGTGGGGGGGGTATGTGTGTGCGTATATGGGTATGAGTGTGTGTGTGTGTGTGGGTGTATGGGTATGTGTGTGCGTAAATGAGTATGAGTGTGTGTGTGTGTGTGCATGGGTATGTGTGTGTGTATATGGGTATGAGTGTGTGTGTGTATGTGTGTGTGTATGTGTGTGCATGGGTGTGTTTGTGCGTATATGGGTACGAGTGTGTGTGTATGTGTGTGTGTGTGTGTGCGCATGGGTATGTGTGTGCGTATATGGTTACGAGTGTGTGTGTGTGTGTGTGTGTGTGTGTGTGTGTGTGTGTGTGTGTGTGTGTGTGTGTGTGTGTGTGTGTGTGTGTGTGTGTGTGTGTGTGTGTGTGTGTGTGTGTGTGTGTGTGTGTTGTAAACTACTTGTGATTTTGCGACTGTTTTCTTACCTTTGAAACGTAGCAAAACACCAGCACCACAACAGCTGTAAGCACGAAGGCAACGCCAACACAGATGAGTATGATGTACCCAGGGTCTGAAAAATGTAGGGCAAAACGAGTTTTTATGACTTCACCACCTATCAATGTAAAGAATTGTTTCCCTTGTATTTCTCCTTCTTTCCCTGCCTTGTCGTGAAATGTGGTGAATTCATGCTGAATTTGCTCCAACGCAAAGACCATCCTTTCTAGTTTGAATGTTTTTTAAAGTATTAACTGTCTGAAAACCGCACTTCAGATACGTGACGTGTATGCATGCGATGTATGAGAGGTTACATATATCAAAGCATGTATGCTTGTATATTGGTCATGATTATAACGTGTTCGCATATTGGTCAATGGTTATCAACTGCATGTTTGCATGTTGCTCAATGATTATAATCTGTTTGTATATTCAATTTGGTCAATGGTTTAAACTTGTTTGTATATTTGTCAATGACTATAACCTGTTTGTATATTGGCCAATGATTATAATCTGTTCGTATATTGCTCAATGATTATAACCTGTTCGTATATTGGTCAATGATCATAACATGTTCGTATATTGGCCAATTATTATAACCACAATCAGACAACTCCGACAGCAGAAATGTATCATGTGAAATCGACGTACATCATTCAACTATTCGTCACATTAACGCATCCGTCATATCATAGAGTGCAATTGGTGACTTGTATCGCATTTGTTAACTCCTCACCTTCTTCTAACGTACTTCGTCTCAGATGAACTCTTCAGCTGTTACACTGATTAGCTGAATTCCTAACTTACGACTGTGACCACTATCGGTACGTCTGCACAATTAGAACGTAACCCTTTTACCCAAAACCCGTAAGTAATTATGCATGGCACTTTGAAACACTGTCTCTTTTAAATTAAGGTCGTATTCATCTTGATAAGGATGATATCCTGTCTAAACATTGGAAACAAATATCGTCTGCAACCGACAAAATTCTGATGCAATTTTTACTAAACATCCAAAAACATCGTACACTAATAATAATAAAATTAATGATAACTGTAACAGATGCACTCACCAAGATTGCTCATCTCTTCATCTGCTTCGAACTCTGGAAGAAATATGCATTAAGAAGTAACCATGTGTTTTAACATCTTTGTGAAAGATAAAACATTAACATTAATACATATTTTGCTGTATTTAAGTTGCCTTATTTGGGACAAAAATATCAGTGGACTTGAGGCCGTTGGGCAGGTTCTTTTTCATGTTGCCTGCATTAATCGAATTCAACTGGTTGTAATTACTTAACAATGTATATATGCTTAACAATGTATGCAAGGTTTTCTGTATTACGTTTTGTTATAACCAATATTCAATCCAGTGGTATGCGTATGATATTTTTTTCATTCACTATTTGGTTTCATTTTATTTAAAATTAATTTAAATGTCAAAATTGAAGCTGCAAAACCTAAAACTAAATGTATATGGACAGAACGCAAGAAACGCGTTATACAATGATGATATCTGATGAACAGTCTGAAGTCTCTATGATAAACATTAAAATACCTGTGATGCTGGTGGCAGTTTCATCTATCTGCAGACTACCGATGTTTGTTACCCCTGAAAGCACAGTCAGGACGGTACCGCTGGTAATGCGTGTGGATGAGTTAAAACGCAGTATGAAGTCTGCATTTATACTTCCGGGACTGAAAGAGGATGGTGGAAAATGTAAACATAGACGTCAAAAATGAATACAATTAATGAGATGGCAATTTCGAATTAAACATCGAGAAAACATCAATTGAGAATGAAATGACAACGTCAACGTTCCTCTGTATAGTGACTAAATCATGTGACAGTTTTGTGACACGAAAAAATTAAATACGGGAAACCTTACGAAAAGCGGATGACCTGAACAGAGCCGTATGCATCCGAGAGGTTGCTGTTGCTGAACACACCATCCAGCTAAGGAAAAGAAAGGACAACTTAAATTTTAACTAGATCTCCATGTATATTGGAAAGAATAAACCAAAGAAAGAAAGGAAGAAAGAAAGAAAGAGAGAAAGAAAGAAATGAAAAAGAAAAAAATACAAAGAAAGGAATGTACAATGAAAAAAGACAAAGAAAGAAATGTAAAGAAAACTTAGAAATACTAAGCAAGACGAAACAAAATGAAGTCTGTTGATATTCTCTTAAATCTATTTAATTATTTTGTTTTGTACTTACCCCTTGCTGGACTTCTGCAGCCAAAGTCTTAAACTCTTCAGATGATATATTCCGCAGTTCTTCCGTCCAAATACGATTCACTATCCTCACGACGCCTCTGAACAAATGTGCCTCCACTATAGGGTGGTCTGTGATGAAACGAAAATGTAAAAAAAACATGGCATTTCCAAGCTACGATACATATTTTACCTTAAGCCTTGTAAAATATGTAATATCTTATTATTAAAAATTGTAACGAATATTCCTTACCTTCGGTTGCTGTTCTCAATGAGGTGCTACTCTCATACTTTTCCGTTGGAAGAGGGGCGGTTGAACTTTCGGTTTTCATTGTTGTAATGTCTTGCTGTGTTGTAGAGTCAGTAGTAGACATGTCGTTATGCGTCGTTGTTTCATATCCTCCTTGTGTATTTGCTCTTTCTGTTGTAGGAAGGACGGTAGACCCAATGTGTATCTGTTTTGTAGCATCCGTAGTATCTCCGTCAAAATGTGTCGTTATTTCATTCTCTTTTGTTGTAGTCACTATTTCCGTTGTTGAAAGAGTGGTAGAGCTTTCCAAGTCCTTTGTTGTAGTGTCTACCTGTGTTGTAGACCTGTGGAAAGGTGTCGTTACTTTGTAGTCTTCTGTTGTAGTCACTTCTTTTGTTAGAAGAGTGGTAGCGATGTCAAAACCCTTTGCTGTAGTGTGTAGCTTTGTTGTAATGTCAAGCTGTGCTGTAGTGTCTTTTGGTGTTGTCACACTGGTAGTAGACCTGTAGAATGGTGCCGTTACTTCGCCGTCGGTTGCAGTTACTCTTTCTGTTGTTTGGGGAGTGGCAAAACTGTCGAAGCCCTTTGTTGTAGTCTGTAGCTGTGTTGTAATGCCTCCTTGTGTTCTAGAACCGGTTGTAGCTACTTCGTTCTCCTCTGTTGTAGTCGCTACTTCTGTTGTTGGGAGAGCGGCAGTGCTGACAAAGCCCTCTGTTGTAACGCTCACCTTTGTTGTAATGTCTAGCTGTGTTGTAGTGTCTAGCTGCGTTGTAGTCTCCAGCTGTGTTGTAGAAACGGTGCTGGATCTGTCGAAAGGTGCTGTTATTTCATGCTCCTCGGTTGTACTTGCTCCTTCTGTTGCAGTGATGTCTGTAGAGCTGTGGAGGCCCTCTGTCATACTGGTCGTAACACTCAACGGTGTTGTACTGTTCAGCTGTGTTGTATTGTTTAGCTGTGTTGTATTGTCCAGCTGTGTTGTATTGTCCAGCTGTGTTGTATTGTCCAGCTGTGTTGTATTGTTCAGCTGTGTTGTATTGTTCAGCTGTGTTGTATTGTCCAGCTGTGTTGTATTGTTCAGCTGTGTTGTATTGTCCAGCTGTGTTGTACTGTCCAGCTGTGTTGTAATATCCGACTGTGTTGTAGAACCGATGGTAGATTCGTTGAAAGGTGTTGCTGTTTCAAACTCGTTGGTTGTCGTTGCTCTTTCTGATGTTATGAGTGCGGTGGAGCGATCGTTGCCCTCTGTTGTAATGGCTAACTGTGGTGTTTCAGTGGTAGATACATGTGTCGTTTTTGGCTCAGATGTGGTTTTTAATGGTGCGGTTATTATTACAACGACATTTGTTTCACAGGCCATTGAATTCACAGCGTTATCTCTGGCTTCTATTGTCATTGAAACGGCTGATGAATTGCCGTCAAATTGTGGCACCTCAGTAGTTATAACATAGATCCTACCAGTTGGTGGGTCAATCCTGAATATGCTTGCGAGTTCTCCTGTTTGGGACTTTAAACTGTAGGAAAGTTCACCGTTTGGACCGTTGTTGGGGTCTTCTGCTTCTATGGTTGCGATTGTCGATCCTCTTGTAACATTGCGAGAAGAGATCTCAAGAGTTTCATCTACCGGGCACCGCGGAGCTGTATTTGTGCTTACTTTGGTCACGATCATACGGAGAGTTACCTCATCTGTTTGGGGCGGTGAACCGTGATCTGACGCACCGACCTTCACCACGTAGTTCCCACTTTCCAAGGCGCTGCTGACGGTAACACTACCATTTGTGGCGTCTATAGAAACGAAGCGGCTGACACTTGTGATTCCGTACGTGATTTTGGAGTTATTATCAGACCTGTCAGCATCAGAAGCTTGGACAGTAGCCACGTGGAAGCCGATCGGGGTGTTGGACTGAAGGTTATACTCGGTGTCAGGAGGAATGTTGATGACAGGTTTGTTGTCATTCTGGTCTGTTATGTTTATCATTACCGTGGCTGTTCCCGTCATTATCGGCACCCCTTGGTCAAATGCTTCGACGATGAGACTGAATGACGCGCGCTCCAACGAGTCAAAGTCAAACTCAACGACTGAAGTTATGACCCCTGAAGTCTGGTGCACTGCAAAGTTTTCATCATCCGAACCTGTTGGGAGAAGCCTGTACCTAACTTCACCATTTCCACCAATGTCGCTATCATTTGCAAACACTGTAAGTATAGGCGAACCAATGGGCAGGTTTTCGGTAATTGTGGCATCATATCTGTCCTTCTGGAATATGGGAGGGTGTTCATTAGGTAAGTTCACTTCGCTGCAGTTCTCTCCTTCAAACCCAGGGAAACATTCGCAGGTGTTTGGGGCAACACACGTGCCTTGGCCGGAGCAGTCAGCTTTCCTGCTGCAGATCGCAACGTTACAGGAACCGCCTGACCAGCCAGGATCGCAGATACATGTGTCGAACCTCACACAGCTTCCATGACCTGTGTCAACGATTGATATGATATTCTTGATAACAATCAAATGAAATATCTTAATTATACGCTGTACATCCATTCATCTCATAACAAGTCATGTACAAGTAATGGTGATAAAGCACAGTAAATCAGTAACAGTGATACACTAACAGTAACATTTTACTATATTTACAGTATACTAATATTTACAGGCTCAACTTCTTTTAGTGTTGTATGTGTAAATACTGATGGAGCTTATAACACATAGTTTATCGAGTTGCGCAAGGAATTCTTATTTTATTTGCCATCTTTTTTTAACTATGGATCTAAGATCTTTTATAATTGGGAGGATACTTCTCTTGTTGATAACAATGCACAGCTTTTGTGTATATCCTAATATAATCCAATATGCTTTAGTGTGGTAAGTATTGATTGAATTGTAATGATACATTTTCAGTAAATTTTCCCACACTTGCAGTTTAACAGTACTCACCAAAACAATACTGCAATGCTTCGCAAGAGAAGTTGGCACAGTCATGTCCGGTGTACCCGCTGCCACACTGACACAGGTTAGGCTCTATGCAGCTGCCATGGTTCGTGCAGTTATTCTGTTCTGTACAGTCTGGGTGATCACAACTTGCACCTCTGAACCCTGGGAAGCAACTGCAACATAGATGTAACAAAAGAAATCTTGATTGTGAGAAAGACGATACAAAAGATCTAAATAGGACATGCAGATGGGGCATTTTAAGATGCAACAACAAAATGAAACACTTTGAAATTCAAACTTCTATAACAGATTACAGATTAAAAAATGGTTTTAGGAAGACTTACAGACATTCATTTTGTCCTTCAGAATTATTGAAGCAGGCCCCATTTTCATTGCATTCTTGCAATTCAGGGCAGCTCAGGGCTTCACTGCAGTCCAGACCTTGATATTCGCTGTAACACTGGCAGATGTTGGGACCAACACAGTCCCCTTGGCGGGAACACTGGTTGACTGCAGGACAGTCCGGTGTGACACAGGAGCTGCCGGTCCAGCCCTGGTCACAGTGGCAGACGTCTATGTCCACACAACGACCACGTCCTGCATGCAACATGGCAAATACAAATTATTTTTTTCTCACTGTAAGTAATAAATAAAGTTAACCACGATACCTACATCCAAGGTGATAAGATACACAAGGGATTGTTGTGTAAGAACTGTACAGATTTTGAAAACTGTCAGACGTTTCAAGTAGCGTCTACAAATTTTTGTCAGTTACTAAAATGAAAAATGAAGAAAAAAGAAAGACAGGACATTAGCTTACCAGAACAGTAATCCAACGCTGCACATGAGAACTGGTCACACATGTCTCCTGCCCACTGTTCATCACACAAACAGGTGTCGTAGTCCACACAGACTCCGTGGTCTGTGCAGTTAGCAACATTTCCGCACGTAGGAACATTGCTGCAGTTGGTACCTAGGTGATATAAATATTAATGATTGATAAAGTTTTTTTTACGTAGCAACTAGGTGAAACCCCTGTCCAAAGACGTCAACATATTGGTATATCCCAGGATACACCGCGCAGCGCTATCTACAAATAATTTCTAGCGGACGACCCTATCATGATTTTTATAACGGCAGATGGTCAGTCTTTAATAAACCGTAAAGACTTATGGTATGTTTTATGCCTTAGCATCAAAGTTCATCTGTGTTCGTATACTATATAAAAACCAATGTCTAAAACTTGGTAAAACTTGGTACATTGGGATAAATACAGTACCAATATGTAATGAACGATTCTCGATATGCCATTCCGTTCAATACATATAAATAATTGGGTTTTGTGACGGTTTGGAATGTTAATTCAATACTCAAGTAGTTGTAAGGCAGTTGTATACAACAGGGACATCTTGTATACAACAGTAGGTTTTTCTTACCGATGTAGCCTGGTTCACACCTGCATACATCTGTGGTTACACAGATCCCGTGATCCGCGCTGGTGCAGTTATTGACGGCATCACATGTCGCTACATGATCGATTAACAACAAATAGAAATTCAAAACATGTCATTTTCAGATATTTGCTGATAAAAAAAAACAGCGAGACGATTTGAGCCTGAAGAATTTTAAACGTGATTATAAAGTAATGCTTAACTTGCTGACTATACCTTTTGATACTGTTAATGATACTGAATAATTAATGATACTGATGGGTATTTTGGACCAAGTACAATTCAACAAGCTTTTAACATGTGCAGTATTTAAACTAGGCGTTAATTAATGCTATGTAGAAACAAAGCCTGATACTACCTTTTTGTAACATGCACTCAAAAGTAAACTGCAGTGAAGTACAATAATGTAAAATACAGTAAAAGTAAAGGAAAGGAAAGGAAAGCAAAGGAAAGGAAAGGGAAGGGAAGGAAAGGAAAGAAAAGGGAAGGGATGGAGAGAAAAGGAAAGGGAAGGGATGGAAAGAAAGGAAAGGGAAGGGATGGAAAGAAAAGGAAAGGGACGGAAAGGAAAGGGAAGGGAAGGAAAATGAAGGGATGGAAAGGAAAGGAAAGGAAAGGAAAGGAAAGGAAAGGAAAGGAAAGGGAAGGGAAGGGATGGAAAGAAAAGGAAAGGGAAGGGATGGAAAGAAAAGGAAAGGGAAGGGATGGAAAGAAAAGGAAAGGGAAGGGATGGAAAGAAAAGGAAAGGGAAGGGTGGAAAGAAAAAGAAAGGGACGGAAAGGGAAGGGAAGGGATGGAAAGGAAAGGACTATGAGCATCACGCAGACGACATTATCCATATTTTACCTTGTTGATCACAGGCTGCTCCCTCCCATCCGGGCTCGCACACACAGAACCCCAGCTCACATCTCCCGTGATCCTCGGAGCAGTCAGTACAGTTTCCAACGTTACAGTCTTCACCAGACCAGCCCGTTATACAGTCACAGCTTCCGTTAACACAGCGACCCCTACCGGAACACTGGTTTGGGCAACCTGCAATGGTATGAGTGCATTATTATACGTTTTCTAGAATTACCAGTTGACTTTTGACTGCAGACATGTATACTACCATGATAATAATGATATGATATGATATGATATCAAATCAAAAGGAAAGGGAAGGGATGGAAATGATATGAATCTTTATTGCATGTTCTTGCCCAGATGGGCTAAATGCACAAGAGGATGTCTAGTATGTAAAACATGGGTATTTCATACTGGTACGCTGTATTCTAATGCAGAGTGCTAGGAATCTATACATGGCAATAATACTATATACTACCTATCATCTACTGTAATAATGACAAACGAGATTAAAGTTAAGTGACTTTAAACACCAATTACACCCAGCAATAATCTACCTTCCTTTATCAATAATTAGATTCAAGAAAATCACAAATCTTACTTTTGAAAACCTCTTGCTCAGTGAAGGTTGTGTCGTTGGTGATTGACACGTCAAAGATACATTCATTCAGAAGAGTGCCGGTCAACCCGAGAGCGATACACATCTCTTCAGCTTTCTGAAACGTAAGGAGCACATGTCAGAGCCTTGGACGTTATGTTCGCCTCTGTAGTCTATGCACTTGACACACAAACTAACAATACATATGAAATATTCTTGTATATCGATGTTGGAACAAATAATAGGCTGTTGATATTCTGTTTTGGCAAACAAACGTTCTTAATTTATTTTTCTAAAAATCGACCTGTTAGGGGATAACAAAGCTTAAGCATTTGCCAGGAGAATGAGTTGTAAATCCAAGAATAGCCTTGGATTTTGTGTTGCCTTCTGTACTCTATACATCTGATCTTCTAAGTAACCATACATGAAAAAAATTCCTGTACACTAATTTTGGTACGAAAATACAATAGATAAGTTGCACTCTGTTTCAGGAGACTGACGTTTTAAAGCTATATTGAAAAAACAGTTAGGTTACAACAATGTTTAATCAATTTCTAGTGAAATTAGTCCTACAGCCCATTCCTTACTTCCTTTTGTTCCTGAGTCAGTCCATCTATGCCGACAGAAGGACGATGGTTCGGGTCGGAGTAGGCAGGATCCATGACGTCATCAGGATGGAAGTTAGAAGAGTTCCATGACCAGGACCCCATCAGACCTGAGCCGTGGTGGGTTTTGTTTATACGCCCTAGAAAATCAATAAATGGCATTTAGATCTTTACAAACCTGATCATAAAGTCAATACGATAATCCGGATCTGTTGATTAAACCAACAAGACATTGGATCTGTTAAACAGACGTTGACATTAAGATCTGTTAATTGGGTCGACACGACAATTAAGTGATATACAGCTCTTTTAATTAACCAACAATAATTCAAGTATGTTAGGCCATGTTGATTTGATTATATGGATGACATCCTTTGGGAACCCCAAAACTGATGCGCCCGTGCGAATAAAAAAAGTTTTGCAAAAAAAAAGTTTCTTTCACTATGAAATCTACGTGGTCATGAAGGTTGAACAAATGGCACAGAATATGTTATGGCGAAAAATCTACTCTTCTAATTCATTTCTCTACATTTTTGTTTTTTTTTCCTTTTATTTTGGCATTCTACGACATTGGTATCGTTTCTAAATGTTTTCCTTGCAACTTATGGTATCATTTAGCAACTGTTTTTGCACGATTTACAGTATGGTTGAAAACCTTGTTTTGGGAAACGGCCGAACATTCATGCGCGCGCGGATGTCATCCATATAATCAAATCAACATGGCCTTACATGAACAAGTAGACCAACAAGTGATATTAGGATGTTTTAAGCATTACTTGATATTCAGATCCGTAAGTACTTTAGACGTCAGATGTAGGTTTGTTTGCTATGATTGCATTGCTGTAAATGTAGAATATTTTTTCTTTAAAATATTCTACCATTAAAACTCACAGGTTCTACTCCAGATTTGACTATGACTGATAAGTACAACTTTTTATCATATGCAATACTTACAGGTTTCAGCAAATACAGAAGTGTCGTTGTACACAGCGCCGTCCGGACCAGTAAAGTCATTGGCATCATCGTCATCCATGAGCCCGCACAGTCCCTCCGTGTTGCCCTTGAACGCGGCCGTGGGGCTGAACAAAATGTTGACAAACTGGCGGCCCATCTTTGGTGAGTACCGGATGTCAAATGACACAGTTGCCCCTTTTCGTTGGGAAGGAGCAGAAATACGTAATGTTATATCTTTGCGAAATTTTATTTCTCGCACTGTATGTGATGACAGACATCTTGAATCATCAGCTTGTCATCCAACCTCAAACAAAGGCCCTTTTATTTACTAGGATGAAATTGCCCGGGTCGAGAGAACCGGATTGGTTTCCATCCGGATCCTAGCCGAATCATTATATTTTCGGCTCGACAGTTTTGTCCTAGATAAAAAAGAGCCATAGAGAATGTATGATGACATATATGATGACAGCACTGATATAGGTTCGATGTAACTTGGGTGCATATCGTCATATCGTCTGAATTTGTTTATTTTTGTTTAAAAAACTTGGTGAACTATCAGAAAACGAACACTACCTCACCTATTTATATACTATAAAACAGAAAACGTTTTACAGTATACATTGCTTTTTTTTTAAACTGTACCTGTAGCAAACGTAAGAGATATGATGATGACAGCCCCTGACTCCGTAGCGTTTTTTGATGGTTGCTGAGCGATCAGATGGATTGTCCCATTGTTCAGGAGATGTTTCTGTCCGACAGCAAGCTGGTGTGGTTCACCATCGATCCTGTTATAGTTAAACCAGAAAAAAACAGAACAGCTTGAAAAAAGTTTGCTGTGTCCAGTCACATGTGTTGTCATATGCAACATGGATGTGTTGATTGTGTAAATATTACACTCATGTACGCTTGGGATCTCATTGTAGCTATCATTACATGTAAATGTGCGTGAATATTTGCATTTGGGGAGTTCTTGAGTAATTCTTACTGGTTTTTATTGCACAGCACAGGTGTCACTGTTAACATCCGTGTACATAATATCACCAGGATGCATAATATAGCCACCTTGAGAAATAGTGTGCTTAAAGATATTTTTACTGCAACATATCCTAGATATGTACATTTGATGTGTGAAGGAGTGCATACCAAAAGTATGTTGCAGTAAAAATAAGCACACTATTTCTCAAGGTGGCGATATTATGGACCCTTGTGATATTATGTACACGGATGTTAACAGTGACACATGTGCTGTGCAATATAAACCAGTAAGAATCACTATAAAGGAAGGTGGCACATGGTCGCCAAAACGTTTGCTGAATAAAACACTTCGTTACGTAATAAGGGTCTCTTTTTTTAGTGACTTGCCAATCAAATGAAACTATTCACAAAAGAAAACATCTGATTCGGCCACACAAATTCAATTTGTTTGTTCTCAGCGAAAAAAAAACATGTCTAGGCATCCTATTATTTCCCCAAATGCTACGATAGGTGCCATGAAGTCAACACAAAAAGCTGGGTTAATATTAAAACAATAAATTTTAAACTTTTAATCAAACCATGGCATTGATCGATGAAAAAAGACTTTCCTCAACGGTTGGGGACCAAATATGGGCATATTTTAGTTGATTCAGAACCAGAATTTTTTGTCAAATCTAAAAAAACTTAAGAGGCGAATCTAAGGACCAACAAATTGGTGTGGCCTTACCTTATATCGGGAACGTCATTTTCCGTTGCGTTCGGTAACGTCATCAGGGTGACGACACTGTGCCCGGTCTTCACTGCAAAGCCACCAATCAGAGAAGCGCTTTCGTACGCGTACATCCGGGTCTGTACGCCGAAGTCATTGGACACGCTCTTACAGTCCCAGAACTCACCAATGCCGTGATAGTCATATGATATCCCTGACAAACAACGTGAAACACACTAGATGAGATCATAGCCTTAATAACCTTCAATTATTCATAGTGTTTGCCAACTATCCATAGTGTTTGCCAACTATTCATAGTGCTTGCCAAATATTCATAGTGTTTGTCAAAGAGTATTGTTTGTTATTACTGTTACATCTGCTGTGTATTTGGATGTCGACTTGTTTTTAAATGTATATTATGACGCTAAATTATGTGTACAATATTTTAACCCTCAACAGTACACCTTCCCGGACTGATTAATCTGTACACCTGGGGTCCGCGCGAACCCCAGAACAGTTTTTTGCTGATTTTTAGAAATTATCAACATGCTACCAGGTCAATTGTTTTGCAAACTGATGTGGGAACCTCTGTGTCCACATTACATACAAAAATCATACATTTTGAACTTTTTCTATTTTTTGGTGAAGAAAAGAAGACAAGAAGAAATACCCGATTTTTAAACCAATTTCAGACTGAAGGGGCTTTTGAGGCCCAACTTTGATCTCAGATAGCGGCTAAACGGCTTGCGCTAGAAGTATCAAATTTGGAAACCTTTCCTAAAATGTCTCTGGAAAAAAGTTCATATTAGTTTAATACTAGTAAGTTGATGTTATTTTGTGTTGCCATGGCAACGGGTTTCTAGCAGGCATTTTTTTTAAATAAAAGTAATTTTGGTTTTATAATAAATTACACTTTTTTTCCAACAATAACATCTTACATAATTGAATATAAGTTAAATCATTTAATATGCATAGAATATGCTAATTTGATGACGTCATTGGTCAAAATCCAATATGGCGGACTATATTATTAGCTCTGACGTCATATGACGTCATAATTACACCAAAGTTATTAAAATTTAATTCTATTACTACACCATTCTCTGAAAACTTGATAGACATACCATGAGTGCATAAAAACATATAAAAACGGAAATAAGGTAATGTATAAGAACGCCAGTGTATCCATTATGATCGAAAGCCGGCTGGGGTCCGCGCGGACCCCAAAAGAAAATCAGATATAATTTTTTTATAAATAGTAGAAACGGAGTTTTCTGCACTGTATTGAGAGACAACTTTGTGGGTGACAATTACCTAAAATTTCAGAAAAAATCTTTAGAAACAAAAAAGATATTACAGAATATATAGTGCTGGGGTCCGCGGACCCCAGGTGTACTGTTTAGGGTTAAGGATGAATTTTATTGTAATATGATGATGATGAATTTTAGAATGATGTGCAATTTAGGAGTTACTCTTGCCATTTTGTTCTTTCAAATGAAGTTTCATTTTAAAATATGTTAGAATAGGTGGGTCATTTGTTGGAGCCCGTCCTTAAAGCCTCGGTCACAACTCGCCGTACGTGCTTCTGCGTGCTGTCTACGTGCAAAAACGTGGGCAAACGTACAGCATCCGTGCGTGGTGAGTACCGCCTCCGTACGGAATCCTACGGATTTGGGAGCACGCAGACACGCCGTAGAACCTTAAGTGCATGTAATACTTTTTCTACGTGCGGTCTGCGGATTTACCACACGTGCGTGCGAGTACGTGCGACGCGCGTGCCCCGTACAGCCTATGAGCGTGCAACGTACGGACTCCGTGAGTCTAACTTCACTATTCTCACGTGCAATTGCTGTACGGACAGCGCACGAAGCACGTGAGTGCCACGCACGGTGCTTGCGTCATCCGTGCTTACTCCTCACTTCCCAGTTGACCTGCTCAATGACCACGCAGAACACACGTGCACCATACTAGGTGCTCCGCACGTGCAACGCACGCTTATTTCTACAGTATATAAAGACGACTTGACGGGCGACTGCCAACTCGTCTCCAAGATGCCCAGGAAGGCTCAAAAGAAGTCTACCAGACAAGATCCAAAGAAACGGGCCGCGGAAGACACCAGGGCGGCTAGTGATGATGAAGTTAACAGGAGGTGCACGCACTTACAACGTGCGAGTGAGTAAGAAAATCGTGCGCACGCCGCACGTGTAGGTACGGCCTGTACGCGGCAACGTGGCAATCGCACAGAGATCGTACGTTGTAAGCACGTACAACTCACCTACCACTTGCGCAACGTACGATGCACGCAACCGCTGACGGCCAGGCGTGTCGTGCAGACCACGTACGTACACCTTGCGAGTGACGTACTCCCTCGGCCGGCCACCCTACGTTTGCAAAAAAAACGTAGCAGACGTAGCCACGACAAAAACGTACGGACAAAAAGCACGCACGGCGAGTTGTGACCGTCGCTTAAAGCTATCTCTACCGTTGTAGTCAGTAATGAGTTCTGCTACTGATAACGCCCTACGTACATGTAGATGAAATAACCAGTGTGGGCATAATGCAAAATACCTTTTGTCTGCATAGAATGAATGTACATGTTGTTTTACTTATAAAGCGAAGAAAATACTTGGGAGCACACTTACCGTCCAGTGTCTGGAGATGAGGGTCCCCTCCAATAGGACGCCCGCGGACAAGCTCACAACAGTCACCGAACCACCGAGGCGAACACACACAGGATGACTGACAGCTGTCTGATGACGTGGTACATTGCCCGTTTCCGGAGCAGCCTATAGGGGTTAAACAATGCAGCAGTCAAACATTACCCGTGCGACTAGAGATGTGTGTTCTTATGTTAAAGGGATCAACAAGACGATGTTGGCTGCCTATATCAAAGAAGAAGAAGAACTACAGCTAGATTAACAAGGCCTCTTTTTATGATTTGTGCAGCATCTTTAATCAAGTAAAACCGTAAGTACCTTCGTACAGAATTTAAAGGAATCCAATGCAATTTTTAGCACGACAAATTTTTGAAATTGCATTTTTAAAGTCCATTTCCTGGTCATTATTTCTTATTTAATGTAGAAAGCTAAATCAATCGGTTACTTCGTGCAGCAGGCTCGCTGAAGTTTTTTTGCCATCAAAATAAAAAGATGCCTGATGTAGCCTCATCTGCTTCTTAAAAGCATGAAATAATGACAAAGTTGTCCTACAAAATGGCAGTAAATGTGAATCAAGATAGACCTTCTCATCAACAATATTTGAATATGAATACCCCTATCAAAGGTATAAAGCCATAAATTGAAGCCATAGATTGATAGATTGACATAAAGCGCGTCTAAAAAAACAGACAGATGTTTTACCTTGACATGGCCTGCAGTCTGGCTGTCTACAGTCCGGCCCCATCCTCCCCACCACACATGTAGGTGGGATCCCGCACTCTGTCTTCTGTGGACACTTACACACACAGTCCTGCCACTCGGGTTCTTCATCATTCTCACAGTCAGGACAGCTATGGAAGGTTCAGAAAGTCATGTTGGGCATACTACTGGAAAAATGAATGCGCACTATTTTACACAGATATCATCAGACATTTATGTTAAATGTTTTAGGGACAATGTGGTACACATGATGATTTAATGCCTCACCTATCAGAGCAGATGCAGCCTTGAGGCCCGAGAACCGACTCGTGGCAGTTGTTACAGGTACACCTGCACGGACAGCTGCCGTCACTCAGCACCACATCCCTGCTACCGTCAGGACAGGTGCAGGAGCACTGTAAAGACGAGATGAATAGTCAGTCAGCACTGGCTTGCCAGGGTCGATCCGAAATACAACGGTACTTGCAGCTGGTAATAATTGTACTTATTCATACCTGGGTCGCGATTACGTTCGATACGGGTGTTCCGGCCCGTGTGATAACTAACGGTACGGCCCAGGGTTCTTCACGTGCACGGCCCGGGCTTGCATGGTGTACTACACAATAATTCGAACGCGTTTCGTGCGCACCGAGTGCACCGCTTTCGAAACTTCGATCACCGAATTCGGATGTTGGAATTGACGCCGTTACACTTTTTGTTTAGATACACCAAATTTCGTCGCATTTCGCATGGAAATATCTGTCTTCTCGGCTGTGTATGACATAAGTAAAAGACAACACAGTGTATTCCGCATCACCCTCGGTCCCAGCCCTTCCGCGGATCGGATGTCCCTCCGGCCTTCGGGCGATCCGACCCGCGTCCGGCTGGCACCTCGGGTGATACGGAATACACTGTTTAGTATTCTTCATGTAAAATACAACCATTAGTACATAACACAACTTACGTCACATGTCCCATCGCTAGTCAGTACTGATATTCTGTTATCAGGACACAGACATGGGCAGTGTAGATGTCCCTGGTTGTTGATCGTTTTGAACTCTCCATCTGGGCAGACATCGCAGTTACATTTGTCACCAGATATGTCGGGATGCTGTTTTTAAGAAATAACAGGAATACTGTTATTACAGGAATACTAGTAATTATTTTTCTTCCAACAGAGTGTGGCTACCAACTTGAAGATTAATGTATGATTTAGCATGATTAATGAACTCGTCATTTATATGCATATCAGTCGTTATGAAACGCATAAAAGGATCACAATCTACGATTGGTAGATTGCTATGCGCATTGTACCCTGGGATATACCAATATGGCGGCATCCTCATGTGTGAAATGGTGGCAGATCGTTATCATGTAGAGGAAATACTATCCATACCGTGAAGCTTATATTTCCGCTCCCACAGTTACAAGGACACATGCAGTGGCTCTCGTTTGTAGGGTGTGGCCTCCCTATCAGTAATCCACCAGGGCATGATAAACAGATGTCCCTACAGGTGTCGATACTTGACGGCTGTGCTTTGCATTCTCTGAAACATAGCAAAGTGTGGGGTTAATATACGTGTCTAATATATAAATTACATTTGATGACACTTGAGTGATCAGTAGGCAGTGCTACATGTGTGGTAGCGGTAGTAGTAGTGGTATTTAATTCTATAAATTAGAGCTTAGTTGCGACCCTAAGTTACTACTGAATTGTCAGGCTTGTTTACATTATACAAGCTTAAAGACAGATACACACAGATAGAGAGAGATGGGTGGATGGATATAAACTATTAGTATTAGATAATGTAGTCAGCTTCTGTCGTGCCGCGTGCATGCGAAGTTGGTGTGTTACGCCGAAGGGCGGTTATACCGACTGTACATTATACAGATAGATTGACAGAAAGTAAAAAAGTTAGATGGACAGATATTCAACTTTTGTTTTGAACATTGTATCCAAATATAAATATAAACATCTTTATATATATCAAGCAGTTTTTGTAAACAATTTCTCAATAAGATATGATTTTTTTACCTATCAGAGTCCATCCACTCTTCACGTCTCCACTCGTGTTCCTGATAGTACTCCTTGTTCCCAACGATGACGTTAAACGCTCCTCTCAGATAGTCCAGTGCTGACGTGACGCCGACGTACTGTGGTCTGTCTGAATACGGGCAGTCAGTAGAACAGGACTGGGCTGATACACGCAGGACTGCTTGGGACTGAATGGAGGTGGTGTACCCAAAAGCATCACTTTGACTAATGTAACCTGCAAACAAGTAGAGAAAATATAACTTTTGGATTGTGAAGTTAAATCCTACATAACATTTTCTAACGTGCATATACTCGTACATATAGGAGTCAGGTTTCCGAACAGGAGTGGACCAGGTCCAACTGACAATCTGGAGCAGCCTGGCTAGATTTAGGCCACGCCTGACATTTCTTAATGAATCAAATCGAAGTTGAGTCAAAAGTAACTGGTGATTTACTTCCGTATGGTTGACTGCTGTTTCACAGCCATAGCAATCACATGCTTCAAATTTGACAAATTTCAATAGACACGGGTTTAGATGTTTAGAATCTGGCTTACCTAGCGCATCTTCTATGGACTGTATCGTGTTGGTCTCCTCTTCACTCTCACCAGATGTGGGGAACTCGAGGAAAAATGTCGGTCTGACTTTTAGCTCCAAACTGATGAGCTGATCACTCTTATTGACCGCACCAGAGTAGGACGATATCACTATATCTGCGCTTTCCTTTAGTACAAAGGAAGGAATTAATTTTGTCAACTGACAATGTGCGTAATTAGAAGATTAGGAAAAAGATGGGGACCAATATAATCAGTCCTTTCCTGTAAGAGTCCTGGACATGAAAGAGTCCTGGATAAGATATGCTGGATATCATAGTGAAGTTAGTACTTTAGTTCAACACAATAATAGACTGTTGCTAAATTCGGAATTTCGGTCGCAAATTCGTCGACCTTCTTCAGGAGTAATTACTTTGGGACTTTGGGACACGTGAATCGAGTAATGAATCGTAAGGGGGGTAAAGGAGGCTGCCAACATTACAACCAGCGAGCCAACATTCAACCGAGACGGGGGTCGATATTGGTTACCAGGCACGTACGGTCAATTATTGAGTCACGTGTCCCAAGGTTACGTTCTCAGGGTCCTTCAATCACTTTACTACTACAGTGTAAAAAAGGTTGATGTATGTGCGACCGAATACGGGCACTTTGATGCTAGCAAACAGTCTATGTTCAACTACCAACAAAGATGAGCTTCCATGCTAATAATGTACATGTTCTGGATATCATTTCTGGTTTAGCTGTGATTGTATTTTTAGAATTAAAGCTTGCAGAATATACTCACGGATTCCTCATTCTCATCAAACGAGAACCATTGCCCCCCTTCTTGTGGTTGCCAGCTTCCACCTCCGTCAATATCCGGTTTAACCACAGTGGAGGACATCTGAATACTGCCTGGACCCTGGTGTATGGATAAATAAAAAGACAATTACAGAGGAGGCATATATGTTATCATACTGTGGCAAAAAAAAACCAACTAGTAAATAAAAAGATCTGCAAAGCAGAAAAAACGATGTACAACATCCAGGCAATATCGTTTATTAAGTTGCTTCTCACAGCAAGTAAGGCAGTATTTGGGACTTTTATATCGTTTTTTTTTTCAGTACCCTTGCCTGATAAAAGTTTTGTCTATTTGATCGAATTGGATTTGTCAGTTACAATTCAAGCCCGATCCGATCAAACACACCTCAGCGTAGATTTCGTACGAAGTGACAATGTGCCCCCATATTTTGGCCGGTATGCAGAGTGTGCTGCTGACACACAGTGAGACGTAGCGAGGGGACAGTTCCATCCAAAAGCCGTCTCTCGCCTGTGTACTGAGGTAAAAATGTACAAATAACAATAGATTAACATTATAGATGATAATAAATAAACATGCATAGACCTAGATATACGACCACAGAAATATTGCGTGTTACTCAGGCATACATGTAGATTTCTAATGGACTGCAGTTCTATCCAGAAGTAGCCTAAACTGTAAAGAGTACAGTATTCTGTTTGCATTTCTTTATACTGTTACTTGCCATGATTACGTACCATTTGGAACGTACATAAAATTACTTTTAGAGCCTAGCGTATGCACAAACCTGCCTATCTAACCACCGGTCTTCGTTAGAATTGGTTAAGTGAGGACCAGGAACATTTTGGGATAGTATTTGCCTATGCAAGATTGTAGATTTGCCACTTGCATGGTTCGGAATACTTGTGGATTATCCAAAGACGTGCCTTATTTTGGATAAAATACGGTTTCGGATACATCAGGACCTACTTACCTCTCCGACACGTCTAGAGAGCCTTCCAGTCCCATTTCTAGCCGCCCACCAATAAAGAAAGCTCCGGCCTTCTTAAGCGTTGGTGTTCGAAACTCCGACGTCGATACTGCAAGTGAGAGCTTGATGCCAGCAGACAGCCCCCCTCTTGTAGATAGATCGATGCTATAACCATCAGTGGTCATCTGTAAAAAGTAATTTGCATCAGTCTTGTGTAAATGCAAAATATTGAACACGTGCCTTGTGTAATAACCTTTGAGGTTAAGTTGAATGTTTACTCAGTTCTTCTACTGCTTAATTGAAAGATACATGTGTAGACGGGTAGCACATGACGCGTTTACTGTAAACTCACGTGTAAACTCACACAACGTTAGAGTTGTCTTTGGTGAGATGAAAAAAAACATTACTCTTTTTTATTCATCAAAACATAACAAGGACATTGTGGAGCTGCACTCAACTATTAACAGCGCCACAAAGTTGACATACCAGTGCGCCGTAGTCCCACAACCCCAAGACATAGAAAATAATGTTAATGCTAACAAAGTTATTTGAAAAGATTTTCTTTAGCTGGAATGGCTACTAAGAATTACATATCAACTTCCCATCTCTCATTGCCGGAAGCACATCCGCCAATAAGAGCTACATGTAGGAGTATTTAGGCCATTAACACATGTAAACATCCGTTACTAATGACAATTGCTCCAACACATTGTACAAGTTCTTACTCTTTGTTTTACTATCAAGTACAAAAATATCGGTCTGAGTTTGATGTAATCAATCCATCACTTTAAAAATATTTAAAAATAAACAGTCATACGGAAAAGCTGTCTTCGATGCTGAGGTTCAGAGGGGTCCTGATAGGAGCTATGCCTATGGTGGCGTCGTCACGTCGTCTTCTTGATCTTGCCGGCGGTGTGATTTTGGTCCTGCTCAGGACTGGCTCCACTTCCAATAGCTTGTACCCATCCACTGTTGTGATTTCCATAACCTAAAAGAACAGCCAGATAGTAGTTTTCTGAATCCTTTTAATATCAAAAAGGTCTAAATATTGCCAGGAGAACCACATGCGACTGTTGCCAAGGTATCAAGAGATGCTTTCTTTTATTCCAACATTTCATAATTAATTAAACATGGCGAGAGCACACCCAACTTTTTTCATGCCACCACCACTTGTTTTATTCCACCAACACAGAGAACGAATTCAGGACAAGACAATACTCATTTTTACTTGAGTTAAGTGAGGAAAGTCGTGTTAAGTTCCTTTCCAAAGGGCACAGGATCCGTGGCATGTCAGGAGTCGAACCCGGGACCTCTTGGTTCCGAGTCGATCACTCTGCCCCAACGCCACACAACCCCACGAGGTACTTGCTATCGCAGTTGGTAATGTCAGTTGTTCAACACATGTACTCATACTCACTTTTGCCAGCAGCCTGCCGCTCCGTCTCCCCACCACCACGTCGCCAGCCTCCAGGTCCACTTCTTTCCCTCCGGACTCAACAACAAGCAGGCCATCTGTCCCATCCGGCCCACCAGGGCAGGGTAAAGAGGCTGGTAGAGACTCCCCGTCTGTGGTTTTTAGTTCCTCACTGAAGCTACAGAATGATAAAACCCAGCCTGACGCATGTACATGTATCTATCTCATTTAGCCATGTAAGCCCGTAGTGTTACACATTTAAAACCATCCCCTGACCATAAACCATTCAAGATTGGTTAAAGTTCAAGGGGAAGACTAACAGGTTTAGGCCACGTCTACCTTTCTATATGAGTTGAATGGAATTTGAGGTAAATCTATGTCAAATTTGACCCCAGAGCACACCCGAAACTCAGTTGAACTACTCCGGAACACCCTGGCCTACTGTCCTCCCGCGAACACTTTAAACAGCATTCGGACGGTAACCGATCTCACCAAAGATTTGCCAACCACACTCAACTACTCCTAACGATGCTTGGGGGTTGACAGTGCTTTTAGGGCCATATCTGGTTACATGTGACAAGCCTAACTTTATAAATGAAGCGCAGAAGCATACCATATTGCAAAAGTAGTCATAGTAGTCGCGCTTACTTTGAGTTGAATGGTGTGGAGCAATCCTGTAGCTCGGTTTGTATGAAGACTCCGTAAGGTGTAGTTTTCTGTCGGATAACCCTTTCCAGTATCCCGTTACTATGGTTACTGACAATGACGTCACCAACTGACAGGTGGTCAGAGATATCTCTCATCAGCAGATGGTAGCTGCCCACACCTTTGTTCGTAGCCCGATCTCCAATACACTTGTAGACGGCGGTATCTGTAAATGGATATCTCATAAACAATTGTGTCAGACTATATACAACTTTTTTCCATTCGATATCACATCCAGATTTCCAAAATCAAGTAACGGAAAAAATTTCATCACAGGAATTTCATCTTTAAGCCTTATAGTAATAAGAAGTTTATTGCAAATCCACGCATGAAGGCTAATTGCAAGTTACAAACATAAAAGAACATTGAAACAGAGTAAAAAAAAAAACTTCAAAATGTACATAATGGAATCTAATTGTCTAAAACTATTGCTACAGGTATGTATAAAACTATGCCTGAGCGGATTACTTCTCTTTTGTAAATGCCTAATAGACTGTCTATACTAATCCTATCAATGTATTTCTGTACTGAGAGATGTTGATAATTATAATTATGAGACAGAAAAATCTCATAATTAAAAATTTTTAGATCTTAGCACATTGGTCCCACGATCTTCGCCTGTGTCCTCACCAGTGTTTAGATACAAGTATCAACGATTAGCCGAAAGGCCCGGTTGGCCTTACTCAACTGTACATGTGTTTTTAAAATTGACTTTCCCAAGGGCAAAACATCGGGTATGCTAGGGAAACAAACCCAGACCTCTTTATTTTTTTAACTTTATCAACAACATAGCAAATTACAAAATATGTACAAACTATCAAAATATACACACAATATAATACGATGTACAAAACTAAAACTCATCTCATTTAGGTAGGTGTGCGATAGGTTTTACTTCATCAGATCTCTTTTATTATCTTTCAATACAGTCCAAGATCTATAAATAACAAATTAACAAAACTAATAGCGAAGGTAATATTAGCAGACCTCTTGCTTCCAAGCCGGACGTTCTGACCATTTACGCCAAGCGATGCCACAGAGCATTATTCTTACACAAATAACTTCTGCCACAACACACCTTCTGTGATGACATGAACAGTGCTGCCGTCAAGCGTCCCGTTTCCTTTCAGCACCCTCTCCACCTCGGACAGTTCAGGAGCTCCCTCGTTCCTCCTCATGTCCACAGCCGCCTCCAGCTGAACCTCCTGGCTGAAGTCACTGTAATCCAGCATGTCCTCCAGAGCAGCAGGGTGCGCCACCATCACTGTGTAACTGTCTGTAGTGGAAATACAAACATAGTAAATTCTTACTATATTTCAGTCCATACCATGGTATGGATGAAATATATTGTGTTCTCTCATGTTTCTTCTCCTTCTTCTTCTTCTTCTCCTCCTTCTCCTGCCACACAGTCAGAGGGATTCAACTCCGCCATCATTCAGCCAAATGACTTGAAATTTGGCATGGAGGTAAAGTGGGCCAATACCCCCAGGCGTTTTTTTTCAGTTTTTTGATACATGCCTTTAAAAAATTTTTATGAAGGTTTTTTGGGGAATTTTTCGCCAAAAAATGGATTTTTGGATCCTGAGCCCTGGTTTAACAACCAAATGATCTGAAATTCGGTATAAGGGTACTTTGAACATGTGTCTACAGAACAACAGTCGCATATTTGGCATACACCACTTCCAAATGACTCATTTGGGGGACTTTAATGGCTATTTTGAGCAAAAAAAAGGCCAAACGTGCTATACCCGTTCCATGTTCTATCTAAAGAATGGCACGTTCTATCTGCCGTTGGCCATGGAACAGGTGTTCCATTGCGGGTTACCTGAGGTCACATTGCACGTAAGTCGTGCGTAATGACCCACACATTCAATTTTATGTGCCTAAGACCTTCAAAATGTATCAAATCTCATCATTGTTAGTATTTGCATACCTGTAAGAAGATTAGTAAAGCTTTCGAGATTCAATGTGCTTGTTGTTGCATCTTTGTTCTCAATTACATGGCTACTATATAATTCATCTATTTGAGAACCTTTGCCAGTTTTACACTGGGGTAAGTTTGGAATAGTCCACTTTTGCGTGGGAGGGAGATGGACTGAAATATGCTGTATTTGCTCCCAAGCAAATGTCGGCCTCTCTAGTTTATTTTATTTTTATTTATTTATTGAGCTTTACAGATTTCTTGGTGAAGATTACTCATCCAGGGTGAAGATAAAGTGATAGAGAAGTTAAATCTTTTTTGAATTTTGTAAAAATCCAAACCAGTTTGAAAAGATTTAACTGCTCTTTTAGTTTATGGTAAATTATTTTGAATATTTGTACATTCATGCCAATTTGGGCTGAATGCAGTTCATGTAGCATCACATAATAAGCGTAGAAACACCACAACTGGAAAGAAGCTTAATGTCTACACTACATCGAATTTTGTTTTACAGTATTGTCAGGGGATGCCATTATATATACAAACTTTTACTGGGTGTTTACATCATATTTCTTGAATTAATACATCTAAAAGAGGTACCTACATTAAATGCAGCAATATGTTAATTTTCAACCCAATTCCAAGGGATACATATATACAGCAATGTCTTGAGTAACTTTTAGTTTTAGCAACAATTGTTGTGAATATATTTGCTTACCTGTCTTTGTAACTCGTTCCACCTTGTGAAGCACACCGTTTGCCTGAGGACTGGACAGCACCTGATCAAACTGAATGTCCAGATCCCCTTCATTCACAAACATGGTGGCTCCACTACTGGACAAGCGGAGTGGACACCGGTACAAGATGTTGTCCTTTGAGGGTACGTACTTTACGTTATGGGCGATGAGAATCTTCTCAATTCGCGTGGTGTCGTTGTACAGTGGATGGATGAAGCCCTTGGGACACTGGTCTTCATTCCACACGTTGCAGTAGTCTTCATTCTGTTTTGGTACACATGCAGCCAGTATAATGTGAGAAAAAGTATGTCAACTTAGGATTTGTTTTGACTTGTAGGTTCGAATGTATATATATTCTGTAGACAATTAGTACATAAGAGGTTCACTAGTGATATAAGAGTTGTTGTTTTTTAATCTGTACTTGTTGAGTTAAAGATACTTTTAAAAATCCCTTGAAGCGGATATGTCACACCGTGTGTGATCATTTTGCAACTCAACTCACCGATGTCCTGAAACAGGCCTCCATGTCCTGGCACCTCAAGCAAGACTCGACTGTAGTAGTGGACAGTGCCTTGTTGCATTGCTTTGATTCACAGTCAACGATCTGCAATTGATGAAATATGAACTGAATGAATGTTCCAACGAATTATGATTTATATCTTCAGTATGAGCATATGTCATTAACAGTAGGCTGGTCCAACTAGCGAAGCTATTATCAAGTGTCAAGTGTTGATAGTATTTTGATGGCACTGGAAAATTTTAAACCAGATGGAGCTTGTTTAATTCCACACCTGCACACCTGTATGAAAGTTGGAGACTTACCTCTATGTTCTCTGAACATCGGTTCCTCTGTCCCACGGTGAAACAGCCGTGATAGAACCACGACCTACACGGGAACACGTCTGGTCCTCTGTACAGCCCGGATTCACAGCTTTGTCTCTCCTCACACCAGCCACACCCAACCTCCCGTGTACAGGACTTACAGCTGGTGAACCGGTTACAGTAGCTTACAGTGCAAGCACGACCCTGCGGTAGGAGAGGTGCATAAATAAGACTACTATATCTAGTATAGTTAGAAATCAATTGAAAAAGCAAAATTAAAGACTACACATAGGCAAACACATCAGTCATGGTTAGAATACATAATGCAAGATTCCATAACAGAAAAAGTCATTTAGGATAAAATCTCAAATACTGCTTAAGTTATATGTAAGTTAAATACTATTAGGCATCGGCATTATTGTGGAGAATGAATGAATGAATGAATGAATGAATGAATGAATGAATGAATGAATGAATGAATGAATGAATGAATGAATGAATGAATGAATGAATGAATGAATGAATGAAAACCCTACA